TCTCAAAAAAAAAAAAAAAAAAAACTGCTGCGAACATTCATGTTAAAGTCTTTGTGTGGATATATGATTACTTTTCTCTTGCGGTAAATACTTAGAATGGGCTCAGTCATATGGTAGGCATAAGTTTAAATTTTTATAAAATTGCCAAGCCATCTTATGAATTTTAAAAAGAGACAAATGAAAGTAAGCTCAATTTTCTCTGATTTCTTCTGGACTTGGAACATTTTCCCCAAGTAACTTACACTTCTTGCAATCTAAAATTAAAACATATCCCTTTAACAAATAAGTGAAAAAGATGAGGAGTCTTAAACTGTTAGAGGAATGAAAGTCTACTAACTACACTTTAAAATACTCTTCTTAAACGATTAAAACGTCTATTAATAAGAAAAAGATTTTATTTTCATTATGTTCATTCAGTGGAATGCATTTTGCTGTAACAAGGTAGAAGAAAAATGTAGCCATTTCTTTGCACTAAGGTTTATATTCTTTCCTATTGTAGGAAAAAGAATTCTAGTTTTAAATGGAGGTTACAGAGGAAATGAAGGTACCCTAGAGTCCATCAATGAGAAGACTTTTTCAGCTACTATAGTCATTGAAACTGTAAGTTTGTTTACACAAAGACAGAAATTTCAAAATGCTTTAAATATGTGCTATAGTTTTTTTTTTTTTTTAATTGGACTGGTCTTTGTTTTATTTTAGAATTTGGCTTTTTTGTGCTCCTTCTTTCCTATTTGGAAATCTGTAATCTTATTTTCTCCAGTGATTCCGTCATTGCTAAAGCATTTTATTTTCTGATTACAAAAGAAATGTGTGCTCATTGTATAAAACCTGAAAAATATAATCCAGTAGAAGTAGTTTTTTAAATTTCCCATAATCCTCCAGCCTGACGATAACCCCCATTAATATTTTGGTCTGTTCTTTTCCAGTCTTTGTGTTTTATAAAATTGCATACAACATGTACAGTTTTCTTTCCTGACTTCCTCCCTCCACATTTAATACAAAACTCAATCCGACACAGCAAAATTCTTGGGGGGAAGTGTAGTTGTAGTTGGTGGGAAGGGAGCCACAGAGGTCAGCCATTTTTTTAAGGTCCCCCCTTCTGCCGTAAAGGATTTAAGGTAGCAGAGATCAATACAGTAATTTAAAGAGCTCTGACATATAAGTAAAGTTGGGGGGTTTTTTCGAGACAGAGTCTTGCTCTGTTGCCCAGGCTAGAGTGCAGTGTTGTTGTTCAGTGCAGTGGCATTGTTACAGCTCACTGCAACCTCAAACTCTTGGGCTCAAGGGATCCTGCTGTCTCAACTTCCTGAGTGAGTGTCTGGGACTACAGGTGCACACCACCACGCCGGCTAATTTTTCTATATTTCATGGAGACTGGGTCTCACTTTGTTGCCCAGGCTGGTCTTGAACTCCTGGCCTCAAGTGATCCTCTGGGCTCAGCCTTCCATGGTGCTAGGGTTACCAATGTGAGCCACCGTGCACGGCCTAAATAAAATTGTTTACTGACTTAGAACTGATAGTTCTCTGACAGGTCCGGGAGGAAGGCCCAGGATGTCTTCAGAAGGAAGATTCTTTTTAGGACTCTGAACTCCTGCACTACGTAACTTTACCACTATACAAAAGAAGTTTTCATCTCCAGCACAGTCAGTTTCAGTATTTTGTGGGGATAATAGACCCCTTGGAGAGGGTGATTGAAGTTTGGAGTATCTCCAAAACATTGCAGGCAATTGCCAAAGTTTTGTGTTCTCTTGGGGCTTCTTATCACAGGCCTCTAAGCCCACGGACCTGTTGGAGAATATGTATCTCAGGAAGGTTTTCTGGAAAAACCAGTGTGGTCCTTATTGGAGAGAATTCACATTTCAGTAAATTAAGCATTTTTTTCCTGTGCCTGACAATGCTAACCTAGAAACTGTCACTCACCAACCTATAGGGGAAAAAAAGGAAAAGGGACTCTTACCGGGCATTGAGGAATTTATCAGTCTGACTAAATTAACAGATTTTTTTTTTTTAATGACTGTAAGTTTTTCTCTCTAACTCAATCAGTAGAAGGTAATGGGAAATCCAGTATTTCCTTGATAGATTGATTATCCTTCCCTTTTAAACTTTCTGGTACTGTCAAATGCAGGTCCTGTTTCAAATGTTTTCATCTAAGGGAAACACAAAACAACTGCTTACTACTGAGGATGTATTAATTCCATCCTGATATCTTTGGTTCACAGTTTGTATGGTATTCTTCAGGAGCTAATTTCGTACCTTCTTCACTCCAAACCCACAGTTGCGTCTTCTTTTCTGATGCTTTAATTGCTTACAGGGCTGTAC